CAAAATCTCACGCCATTTTTATTTATTTAAACTTTTGGCTCACTAATGGACTACTCTAAAAAGTTTTTTTGCTTTTTCTCTTTTTGATTTTTTTCATAGAATGGCTCAAAATCTTCAGCTTTATGGACTGATATATATCCCAAGTAAAGCAGCACTTAGAGCATATTTCTATAATACTCATCAATATTTTACATGTACCTGAATGAAGTCGCATGCAATACAAAGAATGTTGCAAAACTTTTGTCACATCCGACATACACCTGTTTTGTATTGTGATAAATAAAGATTCAATATTATTTTGATCATTTTTTTTTTTGAAATAAATAAGAAAAATATAATGTCATGAATCGACTGCAAAAATTCTTTTTTTTATTTCTAGTCGATATAGAAGATATTAAATTTTAACAAAAAAATAAAAGATAATATATAGAAGAACATTATTGTATAAAGCAAAAGAAATTTTACGTTATTATATCACTTATCGATGAACCGGATGATGATATGTCATTTGTTTTTAATAAATAATTGCGAAGTGATTCAGCAATTGTAAGTTGAACATTAGCAAGAGAACTATTAATTAAATATTGAGGAAGCCAACCCTATAGAAAATAAAAAATTATTTCAATCGATTACATAAATAAAAATACTTTACTTTTAAATCTACATTAAGTATCATTGTAAATTTACAACTTGTATCGTCATGTTTTTCGACAATATATGCAGTTGGTCCATTCTCACCTCTTTTTGTTGTTTAAAAATAAATGTAATCTAATATTAATATTATCTAACTTACCGAACACAACTAAAAAGAATTTAGAAGAAAAAAGTTAAAAAGAAAAAAAAATCAAAGAATAATGATGATCTATTTCTTACTTATCTTTAGGAGGCATTTGTGGATAAGCACATGCTTGTGCTGCTAAAATAGCAACATCATCAATAAATCGACGTGTATTCACATTAACAAAATCTCGTTTAGCAATAATCCCTTGTGCTTGTTCATTAGTCAGTTGATATCTAATATAGAAAATTTTCATAATTCAGATACATATGAAATCAATATATTACTGACGTTATATATAAATCATGATGAATCACTTCGAGTATCTACGAAAGAAAAAATTATTAGAATAAAAAAGATAAATTGCTAAAAAAATTCTTTTAATTGAATGAATGCCTCTCTAAAGAATGACATATGATAAATAGAACAAAACATTTTCCACTTTTTAGGATACTTTACAACCCATTCGAGAGTTCGTTTTAGACTCATTCAGTAAAGCATTTCCTGTTCTACAAAACTACTGTTTTGGTTTTTCAAAAAACTTTTCTTTTGTCAACACAAAATTTTTGAAAAGATGAACATCTACTCAATCGTCTAGCTGCAATGTCCGATTTTCTGCAAGCATCTATTGGTTTGTATCAGGATCATTTGCTAAAAGTTAAGTATTTGACATCAATGGATAGAGAACTTCATCCTCTGCAGTTTCACGACCTTTTGAAGATTTCTGCTGCTGTTGTTCAGAAGAGAAAGGCTTTGAACCAATATCAAGTAGTATTTTCAGATGTATTCTGGAAAATAATATTATCCAAAGCAAGACTTGATCTATGGTTAGAAATGCGCGAAACAAAGTTTTTTTGGTCCCGGTCTAGAGAAAACTATTTCAGAACCTATTCGTATCTTGTCCAAAATAATGTTTCAATACTCGTTTTTTTGCGAGTTATTTAGTCGACAAGTAGCACTTTTTGAGTTATCTCTCTCGAATTATGTTCCGATTCATATGGTTAAAAGATAATTTGTATTATTCTTGAGTTCCGCTCCCGGCAAATATTTTTCTCTTAGTCTCGATTCGGATAAGATTTTATTTTTTGAGCCTGCACATCTCTATTTATAACACGTTTATTCTTATGCATTTAAAAACAACAACGATGTAGTTTCACCAGAAAAGAGTTTTTCCGTTTTTTTCACTTCAAAAGGTTTTTTCTTATATATTTCTTGTAATATCCTGAAACATATGTAAAAAGATACAGAATTTTGTAGCATGTTTGAAATTTCAGTAGAAACTTTATGAAAAAATTTTTCATTTTTTTGACCCCCACAGTTAGATGATTGAGTAGATGTTCATTTTTTTTAAATTTTGCACTGACAAAGAAAAAGGTTTTTGAAAAACAAAGACAGTAGTTTTGTAGAGCAGGAAGTTTTCTATCGTACGAGTTTAGAACAAAGTTTCTAATGTGTTGAGAAGTGTTTTGAAACGAAGACAACATTTTATCCCGTTTACCAAGCGCTACCGGTTAATAACTATATACATACTCTACAATCGTTTACAGTTGGACTCCATTTAGACATATCTTCCTGACGTTCAAATAATAGTTCTACAACATCATCACGACATCCTGGAATGATACACTAAAATAAAAGAAAATATTTATCTATTTATTTAATTATTTATTCTTTATTATTTTTTTCTTACAGTTAATCGGAAAATTTTGCCCCATTTTGGAAAATTTTTAGCAAGAACAATATCGAGTCCATTGCTACTTATAGCTTCTTGTAACCAAGAATCATTATCTTTAAATATACGCCAGATGTTTTCAATAACTTCATCTGCTTGTTTTTCATAATCTTGATCATTATCATCATCTTCAATAACGGACGCTGGTGTACATAATAATGATTGTGAAACATTAGAATCCGAACGAAAATTACGAAAAGCACTGACATTTGTTTCTTCTGTATCACTACCTAAAATATATAAAAATAATCTATTATTTTTTCTTCTCAAGCAATTTTAGTATTTTATTTTTTCAAATATTTTTAATAAAATTCTTGCCCCGTAAAGATTTTTCAAATAAACAAGTTATAGTTGCTGTTGATTGCATTTAATTGTTTTTTGTTTTTGCTATTCGTAATAGAAGAAAAAATATATTGTATTAAAAGTCACACATCTGTTTTAATGGTAATTATTGTCAGCTATCATAGTCTTGTGCGTTCTTTTGTTTTTTTTTCTTTCTTTTCGAATAAAGCTTAATCATAGATAGTATTAGAATAGGTGTCTATCCCTAGACATACCCTCAATGGACGGAACAGGAGAATAAAACGATTGACGATGTTCGTTTGTAAGTGTGATGGAATGATAATTTGAGAATGGAGGGATCGGAGATGTTGATCTACTTGAATTCGATGCAAGCAATGGACGTCGATCGCTATG